CGCCCGGCTAGTTTTTTGTATTTTTTAGTAGAGACAGGGTTTCACCGTGTTAGCCAGGATGGTCTCGATCTCCTGACCTCGTGATCCGCCCGTCTTGGCCTTCCAAAGTGCTGGGATTACAGGCTTGAGCCACCGTGCCCGGCCTCTTTTTTAGTTTTTAAGACAAGGTCTCACTTGGTTACCCAGGCTGGAGTGCTGTGGCACGATCACAGCTCACCACAGCCTCAACCTCCCGGGCTCAAGTGATCTGCGTAGACGGCATCATAGGTGTGTGCCACCATGCCTGGCTAATCTTTCTTTTTGTTTAGAGACGGGGTCCAACTCTGTTGCCCAGGCTGGTTTTGAAATCCTGGGCTCAAGTAATCCTTCAGCCTCTACCTCCCAAAGTGCTGGAATTATAGGTATGAGACACAATAATTCTCTGAGTTGTGTATTATTATCCCTATTTTGTAGATGAGGAAACTGAGGTTCAGAGGCCACAGAACACTTTGGAGTGTCCAAATCTGAGCAGGTTAGCAGGAAGACTTTTGGTTATTTATTATTATTATTTTGTTGTTGTTGTTGTTACTGTTTTTGAGACAGAGTCTTGCTCTGTCACCCAGGCTGGAGTGTAGTGGCATGATCTTGGCTTACTGCAACCTCTGCCTCCTGGGTTAAAGTGATTCTCAGTCCTCAGTCTCCCCAGTAGCTGGGATTACAAGTGCCTGCTACCACACCCAGCTAATTTTTGTAATTTTAGTAGCGATGGGGTTTTATCATGTTGGCCAGGCTGGTTTCAAACTCTTGACCTCAAGTGATCTGCCCACTTCAGCCTCCCAAAGTGTTGGGATTACAAGTGTGAGCCATCGTGCCTGGCACTAGTCCTTTGCTTATTAATTGAGCACGAAGCACCAATTTTAGGTGGAAAACTGTATTTTGCATTGGGGATGTTTGCCATTTATGGGGTGTTGCCAATCTGTTATGTTGGTCATTGGGAAGGGGCTGCCTTCCCATGGAGGGGAGCTAATACTGTGTAGTGAAAAACTGCTTGATTAGTAGTTAGGGTGTCCTACATCTGGCTCAGCTTTTGTCCCCTCATGTGAAGGACCTTGGAAGAAGCCCTCACTCACTGTACAGTAGAAGGGATTAGGGCAAGTCTCCCCCTGGAACTGCCAGGTTGTACCTTAGTTTCATTACTTGTAAAACAGGGATAATGGTACCTACCTTGATACATTAGTTTCCCTTGGCTGCTGAAACAAATTACCACAGACTTGCTGACTTAAACCAAAAATTTATGCTCTCATAGTTCTGGAGGCCAGAAACCCAAAATCAGTTTCACTGGGCCCAAACCAGCATGTATTACACGGCTGCCCCATAGGCTGGGCGTGAATCTGTCCTTGTCTGTTTATTTCAGGGGTACATGTGCAGGATGTGAAGGTTTGTTACATAGGTAAACGTATGCCATGGTGGTTTGCTGCACAGATCATCCGATCACCTAAGTATTAAGCCCAGCATCTATTAGCTATTTTTGATGCTCCCCACTCCTCCACCCCCTCACTCCCAGAGTGTGCTTGTCTCTTTGTTTCTGGTGGCTGCTGGCATCCTTGGGTTGTGGCTGCCACTGTGGCTACATCGTCTCTCTCTACCTCCTTTTTATGTTTTTATGAGGATACTGTGATTCCATTCAGGGTCCGTCTTCAGAATCCAGGATAATAATCTTCATCTCAAAATCCTTAATCTGCAAAGGCGCTGTTTCTATATAAAGTTACATTTAGAGGTTGCAGGGATTAGGGTCTGATACTACTGGGGGCCGTTATTCAGCCTACTACACTCAGGGTCGTTTTAAGGAGGAAGGCTGAGCACAGCCCACTGACAGCAGAGAGCACTGAGCAAATAGACTAAAAAGGAGGTCTCTTACAAAGACTCCCTTATAGGGCTGCCGTAAAGTTCAAAAGAAACACAGGTATATCACTTATACGACTATAGGAGAGATTAAAGAATGAAGTAAAAACTGAGGTCTGTTAACAGCCCCTCTCCCGCCGCCAGGAGTTGCACACCTTTCTCTGCAGGAAGCCTTGAACCGTCTCCTCTCGCCTTTCCACCACCTCCAGGCAAGATTTCCCACGTGGAGGCCCCGCCCCCTCCCTGACGCGCCCCTCTCTCCCTCCCTGCCCTTAGCGCGCTGGAAGCATCCGGGACTTCAGGGACAGTACGTTACAATGCCTGACAAATCCTAGCCAGTTCTATCAAATTATATGTCTCTTACAGGTTTTTAAGCTATTAGTCCCATAAAGATACATTTAGTCAGCGAGGTAATGGCAAGATGAGTGTTTTTAGGTTAAAATAAGAACTGGAACTGTTGGCAGCAGAATGGCGATATTCAAGACAGCTCGCACAAGAAGAGACGGGGTCCTACGCGCCTCGCTAGGGAATCCCGGGTCAGCTCGCCGCGCAGGCGCAGTGAGTTCGACGCGCCATGCCGACTGTCAGCGTGAAGCGTGATCTGCTCTTCCAAGCCCTGGGCCGCACCTACAGTGAGTGCCGGCCCTATGCATTGGGCCCTACGCCTCTTCTTGGAGGCTGGGCCTCCCTCCTAAAGGGCATTGTGGTGACATTCATGTCTTCCTGAAGGTTTTGGCCCCGGGAGGCCGGGGTTTATACTGGAGGGCCGATGATGGTGGCGGTCCGAATGGGCTGTGGTAGCCTCGGAACCGGCATCGCAGCGGTGCCACTGCTCGTGCCCGACTCGCCGTGTCATTCATTCAGCGATCTGCCATCGAGTGCCTACAGCGTGCCTGGCACCGACATCCAAGCCAGGGGATAGAACAGGAAGGAAACCCGGGGTTGTATCCCGAGCGTAGCCAGTTCATTGCAATAAGAGCGCTGTGGGAACTCAGTTTATAAGGGGGTAGGAGGAGAGAGTTGTGCAGCGGGATGGAGAAAGGCATTCCATCTGTCTTCGTCTTATTAATGTTTCCTGAGCGCCTGTTATGTGTCAGGCACTGTTCGAAGAGCTAAGGACTAGGGCTGTGCACATGACACGTCAAGTCCACGTTCTGTCTGATGGACGCAGACAATTAACCAGCACATTAATAAAATGATTTCGGATAATGTTAAATGCCATCAAGGAAAGAAGAGGTGTTGTGCCAAGAACAACTTTAGATAGGGTGGTAACATTTGATCTGAGACCTGGATGAGGAGTATTCAGTGGGCGTAGACTTCATTCTACATTTCATCTTTTATTCGGTTCTAAAAACACAACCATTGCAAGAAGGAGGGAGATATTAAGTGCAGTTATCAGTTACCTCACAACTGTAGCAGCCGCCCCACCCTTTTTTTTTTTTTTTTTGAGAAGGAGTTTCGGTCTGTCGCCCAGGCTGGAGTGCAGTGGCACTATCTCGGCTGACTGCAACCTCCGTCACCCGGTTCAAGCAATTCTCTGCCTTAGCTTCCTGAGTAGCTGGGATTACAGGCGCCCGCCATCACGCCCAGCTAATATTTTTTTGTATTTTTAGAGAGACCGGGTTTCACCGTCTTGGCCAGGCTGATCTTGAACTCCTGACCTCGTGATCCGCCAGCCGCGGCCTCCGAAAATGCTGAGATTACAGGCGTGAGCCACCGCGCGTGGCCCCCACCCCATAATTTTTAGCTTGTATAAAGACTCTACCAACTGGTTTGTGAGAGCTGTTTTTTTGTTTTTAGGGCTCAGTGTGATAACAAAGGCCTGTTTTAATGACAGCCACCGCTTCCCAGAATAAGATATTACTGTTACTGTGAAAATAAAACTGGCTTTTAAAAATCTTTCCTAAGTGTGTACTTTTAGATGGTACCTATTCATAAGTCCCTGAAAGTAAAGGAAATACAAGGGTATTGTATTACTCTTACCCTTTGTACTTGTCTCTAATCGCCTAATCGCTTTATTTTATAATGAGCTTATTTATATTTCTTACCTGACCTTCTAAACCATATTCTCACTAATGGGATGTGGTATAGGTTGCTAATTCCTGATCCAAAATGCTTGAGACCAGAAACGTCTTGGATTTTGGATTTTGGGATATTTGTATGTACATAATGAGGTATTTTGGGGGTGGGACCCAAGTCTAAACATGAAATTGATTTATATTTCATATACACCTTATATGCGTAGCCTGAAGTTAATTTTATGGAATACTTTAAATACTTTTTTTTGCATGAAACAAGGTTTTGACTGTGTTTTTAGCAAGTCACATGCAGTCAGGTGTGGAATTTTCCACTTGTGGCATCCTGTCTGCACTTTAAGGTTTTGGGTTTTGGAGCATGTCAGATTTCAGATTTTTGGATTAGGAATGCTCTATCTGTATACCTGAATTGCCTAAGATGGTAGGTGGCAAATATTTGTTCAAAACATCTATAATCAGTTCCCATCCTAGTCTCCATTTCTAGGGAGGTAAGAAATAATCCAGATTTTTTAAAATGGTGAGATTTATAACCTATTTACTGTCATCTGATGTTTCAACATATTCTGTCCCCTTCCCTTTTTTTTTTTTCATATTGTCAGTGATCAATTAAGATTGATTTTTTTCACAAATATGTGTTTGTTAGGTACTGAATCTTTTAAGGGCCAGGTACATGGTTGATGGTTGTAATCACAGCACTTTGGGAGGACGAGGTGGGCAGATTGCTTGAGCTCAGGAGTTGGAGACCAGACTGGGCAACATGGCAAAACCCTGTCTCTACAAAAAGTAGCTGGGTGTGGTGGTGTGTACCTGTAGTCCCAGCTACTTGGGAGCCTGTGGCCGGAGGATCACTTGAACCAAGTAGGTCAAGGCTGTTGTAAGTGGTGATAAAGCCACTGCATTCCAGCCCCGGCCACAAAGTGAGACCCTGTCTCAGAAAAAAAAAAAAATCGGTCAAGAGAATTGATGTTATTTTTTGAGATGTACTTTCGAGAGGTCAGAAATGATACTCCTCATTAGTTTACCTTTATTGTGTTCTTTCTTGAAACTGTTAACTGGGTTGAGGTCAGAACTGGAAAAGCATGTTCAGCAAAGCATGTGGTTTCCGAGTAGTATGGATACATCTTGTTTCTTACCTTTTTTTTTTTCCCCAGTGTTCCTCTTTTTTTCTTGTTTTCACACTTTTAAAATCCACATTCTCTCTCTTTAGTCCCTCCAAGGGTTGCTTTCTATTTGAAATTTCATTGTTTCTACCAGTCCCCACCTTCCTTTTTACCTCCTCTTTGCTTAGCAAGGGTATTTCTCTTTCAAGCTGTTTGCCATTTTGGTTGTTTTGCTTGTCTGACTCCTTTGGAGCAGTTTTGTCTCCTTAGTCTACCTTTTCAACGGACTTTCTGTACAGATGGTTTCCTCTTGCCACTCCTTTTCTTGTTAATTGATTTATTATCATTGCTCTTCAATTATAGTCCTGTTCTGGCGTGGTGTAATAGCTGGCAGTAGTGACAGAGCTTTCTGTGTATATCATATACACCCCTAAGGTATGGTTACGTGATGTGTCATTTTGTTAGAGGAAATTACTAATCACGATTTTATTGATTTTTCTTTGTATTGAAACCCATGAAATACAGGATTTTTTTAATGCAGGGTTTTATTATTCCTGAAAGGAATAAAACGTATGATAATTAGGATTCAGCATATTTTAATAGTTCTGTACCATTTAGTTATCTATTACTACATACTAAATTATCCCAAAGTTTAGCATCTTAAAGCAGCTATTGACTGGGCGCGGTGGCTCAAGCCTGTAATCCCAGCACTTTGGGAGGCCGAGACGGGCGGATCACAAGGTCAGGAGATCGAGACCATCCTGGCTAACACGATGAAACCCCATCTCTACTAAAAAATACAAAAAACTAGCCGGGCGAGGTGGCGGGCGCCTGTAGTCCCAGCTACTGGGGAGGCTGAGGCAGGAGAATGGCGTAGACCCGGGAGGCGGAGCTTGCAGTGAGCTGAGATCCGGCCACTGCACTCCAGCCTGGGCGACAGAGCGAGACTCTGTCTCAAAAAAAAAATAAAATAAAATAAAATAAAGCAGCTCTCATTTGTTACATAGTTTCTGAGGGTCAGGAATTGGGGACTGGCTTAGCTGAGGGGTTTTTGCTCTGGATCTGTTACCAGATTGCAGTCAAGGTGTTTGCCAGATCCGTAGTCATGTCAAGGCCTAACTGAGTCTGGAGAAACTGCTTTCAGATTCATTCAAGTGGTTGTTGGCAAACCTCAGTTCCTTACTGACTTTTGGCCAGAGGCTTTAGTTCCTCCCACCTTATCCTCTCCATAGGACTACTTAGAACATGTTAGCTTGTTTGCCCCAGATGGAGAGGTCTGAGAGAGTACTTAAGTAAGAGAGAGTGCTCAGGATAGATGCCTGTTTTCAGTAACAGCTCAGAAGTGATATACTAGCCCTTCTCATATTCTCTTGGTCACAGACCAATCCTAGCACAGTGTGGAAGGGAACTGTGCAAGGGTGTGAATACCAGGAGGCCGGTATTATTGGAGGCCATCTTGGAGGCTGACTACCACCGTTCCCCCTCTAACCTCCACTGATTCAGGTTCCTCCCATATGCAAAATATACTCACCCCCTCCCAAAGCCTGAGAAGTGCCATCCCATTACAGCAGCAGCTCAGAATCTAGAATCTCATCATCTAAATCAGGACCAGATGTGGATGTGGCGCCTTGGGTGTAGTTCCTTCAGTATGGCTTCTTTAGTACACTCTTGGCCTGAGAGACTCGAGAGACCAGTTATCTGCCCCACATACACCTAACACACAGTGGTGGGATGGGCATAGGATAACTCCTGTAGCCCTTCCTCTTCAAAGGGGCGGAAATGGGAGACACAAAGGAGTCGTTGGTCCATGGCAATTCTGAAATCAAGTGGCAAATGTTGGATGTTCTTGATTAGGTCTGAAGGCCTGGGATAATTCTCCATGGCTGTCTGCCCTGCCCTCTAGGCTCTTGGTTTCCACCCCTCTGAGTGATCCCTAGAAAGCATGTGCTTCACAGCTGGTTGATTTTCTCAGTCTACTTACTGCTAATAGAATTTTGAGAGTTCAAAGACTTCATTTTATTCTATTTCTATCCCTTTCAATTCTAGCTGGCAATGCTTCTGCATATGTATTTCTTCTAAAAACTTTGAGGGTCTTTGGTGCATGTTACTGGCTTCCATTTTATTAGTCAAAAGCCACACCACCTACACATCTCTGAAATATATTGAGTTTCTGCTGATAACAGTCCTCTTAATTAAGCCCTATTGTGTGATTAATTGGATTTATGAGGTATATTCTTTATAATTTTTTATAGCACCCTTTGTTGGAATGATTAGCGCCTTTGATCTTTCTGGGTCTTAAGATTTTACGGTCATACTCTTGATTTTGTCTTTGGACCATATTTTCCTGGCAGTGCCTTGGATTTTGGTCTTTCCTCAATTTTAGCGTTGTTTCACATCTGGAGAAGATGAGAATTTTTAAAATCCCCAACATCCTGGCTCATTTTTGTTTAACAGCCTTTCTTTTAGCTTATCTCTTTTTTTCACATAAGCACAAGAAAAACCCAGGTGGCACTTTGAACACTGGTTGGAAATCTTCTTAGTTACATCACCCCATTGACTTTTTACAGTCCACATAACTGCAGGGAATGGTGTTGCTAAGCCTTCTGCCTCTGCTTAACCAGGATTCCTCTTCTTCCACTTTCTGATAACAGTACCTCACTTTCCTCCATGTCCTCACTTATATCCTTACCAGAGACTATAAGGCTTCTTTCTTTAGGTTTTCATTTACACTCCTCAAAGCCCACCGCTTGGTTCCAAAGCCATTCTCGTGCTTTTCATTTTTGTTACGGCAGTACCCCATTTCCAGGGACTAAAGTCTGTATTAGTAATCTATTGCTATATAACAAATTAATCCAAAGTATTAGTAGTCTGTTGCTGTGTAGCAAATTACCGCAGTACTTAGGAGTGTAAAACAAGCCTTTATTATTTTACGAAATTTCTGAGAGACAGGAATCAGGGAGTAGCTTAGGTAGGTGGTTTGGGTTTGGGTCTCACCGTGTTGCAATCTAGCTGTCAGCTGGGTTTGCTGTCATTTCAAGGCTTGACTGGGCTGGAGAATCTGCTTCCAAACTCACTCATGTGATTGCTCCAGACCTCAGTTCACAGGAGAGCATGAATACAAGGAGGCTGGGATCATGGAACGGTCTGTCTTGGAGGCCGGGTACCTGTTACTACCTGCCCTAGTTAATGATAGCCCCACCCACTTTTTCCCCCAAACTAGAGATCCCGGAGTCATCCTAGACTCCTTCTACACACTCCCTATTCCTACCTCCCATCATTTGGCCATTGAGCCTTTTATATTCCACGTCCTTAATGTTTTTCATATTAATCCCTTCTTCCTCATTCTTGCTGGTGCTGCTTTAAATGAAGCTTTCACTATATCACATCTGTACTATTGCAGTAGACTCCCTGCTCCAATGCATCCTCTTACTCTGCGAGCAGTCTTTAGAATGCAGATAATCATGTTTTTGCCCAGCTGAAGAATCCCTTCAGTATAATTCTCCATTGCCTGTCTGTAAGAAAGAGGGCAAATCGTTAGTTGACCTCTTTCTCCTTGTTCTATCATATCTTTTCCTAGTATGAACTTTATGTTTCATCCATTGTTAAACTACTTAAGAGTTTCCAAATTTGCCATGCTATTTCACTCCCCATGATCTCTGCCTGATGAACTCATCCTTTCTGTGAAAGTTTAGCTGACCATAAGTGGAACTGATTACTTCTTTTGTGCCAGCCCTGTACCTTGTACTTAACATAGTCATATTTATTTACATATCGGGCTTCTTTACCAGATGAAGAAGTAGTTAAGGCAGGAATTGTTTTATTTATCTTTGTAACCCTGGTACCTAGTACAGTGCCTGGTATAAGGTGGGTACTCAGTACATAGATGTTAAATTGAAATTTAGTGTCTGAATCAGGAATTTTAAGACCAGTTTTCACTAGAATGCGCTGCTAATGATGTTTTGTGTTCACTTTTTGGTAATATGAGAACCCTGAAAAGCTAAACAGTAGGATATAATATTAAAATAAGGAAGAGAACTTATTTTATTTATTGCTCATAAACCATTAATTATTGTAGACTCACTATGTCTCAGGGTACTATGCCAGGTCTCTTTTATGCATTATCATTTAAATCTTTCCAATAGTACCATGCCATAATGGCTGTGAAATACCATCTTATAGATGACGCAGCTATAATGTTGACATGAGATACCAAGAAAGTTTACATAAGGTGCCAAGCTCTCAGATCTAATAAGTGGGATAGAATTCAAACTGATTGACTTGTCTTCAAAGCCAAAAGTGTCAGGCCGCCTCAGACCAGTTTACATGATAGGACTTATGTGACATTCTGTTGTGTGAGATCTGTGATTTGGAGCCTGCTTTATATCTGATCTCTACTTAACAGGTGTTTTTTTTTTTTTTTTTCTATGTATATGCAAACTTCCCAGTGCAAGTAACCTAAACTACAGTTGATATTAACATAGGTTAATCAAGCCTTTAATTGTTTTTTCTTTTTTTAATCTTAAACTTTTTTGGCCCAGCTTTTTTTTTTTTTTAAATTTTTTGGTACAGAGTTTCGCTCTTGTCGCCCAGGCTGGAGTGCAATGGCATGATCTTGGCTCGCTGCAACCTCCGCCTCCCAGGTTCAAGCAATTCTCCTGCCTCAGCCTCCCAAGTAGCTGGGATTACAGGCATGTGCCACCATGCCTGACTAATTTTCTATTTTTAGTAGAGACAGGGTTTCACCATGTTGGCCAGGCTGGTTTCAAACTCCTGACCTCAGGTGATTCACCCACATCGGCCTCCCAAAGTGCTGGGATTATAGGTGTGAGCCACCACACCTGGCCTGTTTGTTTTTAAATGATGAACATGATGCCTGATATTTAGTAGTATGGTTGGTGTACAGCAATTAATAATAAGAAAATGCAATTTGTATGTAGTTTTCACTTATGCTGAACGAAGTAAAATTAACCATCTCCTTTTTTATTTTCCTAGCTGACGAAGAATTTGACGAACTATGTTTTGAATTTGGTCTGGAACTTGATGAAATTGTATGTATTGGATATTTGTCTATTTTTCAAAGATTGTGTGCATAAGCTTATTTTTCAGGGGTGTGCTATATTTCATCTTTGTTACTTATAGTTAGACTAAGATGATAACATTTGGGGGCCATGATTTCTGTGTTCAGAGGGCTAAGCTCCAGTTCTGTCTGTTGCCTTGACTAAAATCTTAAAAGGGGTTCATGCCTTATTCCATCTACAGTCACCTTGTTATCAGACTCATGCTGTGGAAATTGAGAGAATGTGTTAGATAACCCCAGTATGAAAGTAAGCTCCCTCCTTTGACAAATTAATCACAGAAAGGGACCAAGAAGCAGTAGAAATGTTGCTTCAACCAGAGTTGCCCTGCCTCCTTCTCCTCTAGTGCCTCCTCCTTCGCCTCCTCTGCCCTATCGCCTTCCTCCATGCCTCTTCAACCAGCACCAATGCATTACTATACACTGATCTTGTAAAATGAGCTCATAGTTTTTAAGGTCTTGCTTATAAAAATGAGGAAGTATTTTCTTTGACTTTTGATTGTATAATGATTAAAATATTTTTAAAAATTAAGTCTGGGCTATACATTTTAATATTGTTAACAGTGATTATCTATTAAGGACATACTTTAATTTAAAAAATACTTTTGTGGTAGTTAGTGTTATTTTTTTCCTAAGCCTTCTATCTTCACCTATTCAGTGTTTTTATAACACTACCTTAGGTGTAAAGTTAAAAAATCTTCAGGCTAAAAAATTGTACATTGTCTTACCTTATTTTTCCTGCTGCCTTACTAATGTTACAGAAAGATCATCTTTATACTAATCAGTATTTGTATACTTGAGAAATTGGCTGAGATTTCTGTAGTTTATAAGTAAGTTACTATTAGTAATTTTACTACACCTCAGAATTATGTGTGAAGTTATGTGATATCTAAGAGTGTTGGACTGGATGTTAGATAATTTGAGTTCTAGTTCTAACATTTACTAGCTGTGTAACTGTGGATACTTACTTTGCCTGTCTGGACCCTACAGTCCAGACGAGTCTCTCTGGGCCTCCTTTTCACTTGTGAAATAAGGGATTTGGATTATATGATCTTTATGGTTTTCTTGTTTGACTCTGAAATTTATGTGGTTTTTTAATTTCTGTAAGATTTTTGTCAGGTAGCACTGACAAATCTTACATATGGTCAGTTTATGAGTTGAGATGCTGAAACTAAAGAAGCTGAAAGCTTCTGTGTCTCTTTTTTTTTTTTTGCAAAGGAGTTAGATCTTTTTTTACAGCAGTTCCTCCTTATCCACAGTTTTTTGCTTCCACAGTTTTAGTTACCTGCAGCAAACTGTGGTTTGAAAATAGGTGAGTATAGTACAATAAGAAATTCTGAGACAGAGACTGCATTCACATAACTCTTATTATAGTATATTATTTTAATTGTTCTTTTTTTTTTTATTAGTTGTTAATCTCTTACTGTGCCTAATTTATACATTAAACTTTCTCATAGGTATGTATGTATGTATAGGAAGAAACATGGTATATGTAACATTTAGTCCTCTCCAAGGTTTCAGGCATCCACTGGGGAGCTTGCAACATATCCCCTGTGGATAAGGGGGTGCTGCTGAAAAATGAATGCAGATGCCTTCATTTCTCTGGTTGTTGTATTATCTTCTCTTTATAGAGATCCCTTCTGAGATCTGCCATCTCCTGGGAGGTGACTCAGCTTTCTTCACTATTTATTTATTTATATATTTTTTTGAGATGGAGTCTTGCTCTGTCACCCAGGCTGGAGTGCAGTGGCTGGATCTCAGCTCACTGCAAGCTGCGCCTCCTGGGTTCACGCCATTCTCCTGCCTCAGCCTCTCGAGTAGCTGGGACTACGGGCGCCGCCACCGCGCCGGCTAGTTTTTTGTATTTTTAGTAGAGACGGGGTTTCACCGTGTTAGTCAGGATGGTCTCGATCTCCTGACCTCGTGATCCGCCCGTCTCGGCCTCCCAAAGTGCTGGGATTACAGGCTTGAGCCACCGCGCCCAGCTTTTCACTATTTAAACAGTAATTTTATTAACCCCTTTGATTGAACGTTGTTTAAACTCCAATTCTTCCTCTCCTCTTTTTGCCTCTTCCCCTTCTTTTCTTTTCCCCCTTTTTGCTCCTTCCTCCTCCTCTTCATTCTCTTGTTTTTCATTTTTCGTTTTCCCTAATTTTAAAAATTTGCCTTCTAAGTTCGAGATGCCCAAGGTAGATGTTTTTTGGAGCCCAGCACCACCTTACACAGCCCCAGCATTGTATAGACTCCTGTGGTTCCTTGGGTGGGACTTTGGCACATAATACTCAGTGGCCAGAAGTGAATTCCTCTGTATACTGTGCAAATGTGGATATAATTCTTACTTTGGTCAAAAATTTGAACTACTTATATTGTGGCCGTGGGAGGGCATCATGTAAAACAAAAATCATTACATATTTTGATAGAAATCCATCAGTTATTTTAGCAGGTTGTTGGTGGAAATAGTAGGAATTCGGGTTAAGTGGAGTTTCCAAATAATTAAAAGGTAACATTAAGAATTGGAATATAACTTTTAATTATTTCGAGTGAAAATTTCTTAAATCTATTTACAGTTCCCTGCTGTAGTAAACATAAGGAATGGAGTGTAACCTCTCTGCAGTGGTTATGTTTAAGACAGTCTGTTGCTCTGCTGTAGTGTGGTGGGTGAAATATTCTAAACTCTTTACCACTGCATTCACCGTGATTCTAGTGGTGTTTCTTCCGTCATCTCCCTCTTGGTTGCCTTAATTCTGCCTCACTATCCCTTTACTGTCACTAATTTGCTTCCCATTGCACCTATTATCCCTTTTAATTTTCACCAGCGTCTGATGGTCTCTGAATGTTTTTTGTTTTTACACTGTCCCTCTCATTGTCATGTGGACTTGGGTGCCCACAGGATTTAAATTTTAGAGTCATCCTATAAGAAGGTGTGTTTCTTTTATTTAGTGAATCATCTTTCTTTTACCCCTTTGACACTTTTGTTGTTACTTTATGTACTTGGTGGTGTTTTCATTTTCTGTAGCTTGAGATGGGAAAACTTTTTCTGTAAAGGGCCAGATAGTAAATATTTTAGGCTTTGTGGGCTCTATAGTCTCTGTTTCAACTCAGCTATTGCAGTGTGTAAGTTGCAGTAGGTAATAGGTAAACGAATGGGTCTGTCTGTGTTCCAGTAAATCTTTATCAAGTATCAGGTATGATTTGGCCAGCGGGCCATTGCTTGTGGACCTTTGTTTAAATGGATTTGTGCTGTTCTGGGGAGATTGAGGATGCCAGATATCCGAACTCAGTTAAAGTTGAAGTATTTTTCTGTCTGCTACGATTATAACACTTAATATTGTCATGTTGTTTTTGTCATGGATATAAAAATCCCGTGTTCTTGTAGAAAATATGTATAATGTAGTTACTGCCTTATAGGACTGACAACTTTTACTTTTTAAAGAGAATTTAAATTATTTAATTTTATCATTACTTTTTGGCTTGTTTTAGACATCTGAGAAGGAAATAATAAGTAAAGAACAAGGTAATGTAAAGGCTGCAGGAGCCTCTGATGTTGTTCTTTACAAAATTGACGTCCCTGCCAATAGATATGATCTCCTGTGTCTGGAAGGATTGGTTCGAGGACTTCAGGTCTTCAAAGAAAGGTAAGGAAATATGTTCCTTAAAGACTTTGCTAAGTTGGATTTTCTTTCTTTCCTTGTCGTTATTAGCAGCCGTGTTTAAATTTCTAGGAAAAAGCTTGTACAGGCACGCAGCTTTAACTCTCAGCAGAGGGTCGATTTGAGGATTAGATTCATGTAGATTGTAGCCATTTGAAAATTTCCATGAAAATTTGAGTCATAGCCAGTCATTTTTGGGAGCATATTTTAAAACTGGTGGTTAATGCTTTTATGGCATCTTGAAAAATTCTTCAGCAGGTGTGTGTGATTTCCCTCCATCATCTAATTGGAATGAGTAGTTTGCTAGATGTGTTAAAGGTTGAGAGGAAATGGAGAGCTGGCAATACCCTTACATTATGAGTTCTAAGGAACCTCAGGAGTGAAGCCTCCTAACTGGAAAACCAAAGACCTTATGACGGCTCCGTGATCTTGAGCAAGTTAGTTGGCTGCTCTAGTTTCAATTTCCTAATCTATAATGAAGAAGATTTATAAGTCCCCTTCCAACTTTTCATTTAATAAAGATAGAGGGGCTGGACAACGTGCCTGTAATCCCAGCACTTCAGGAGGCCGAGGCTGGTGGATCACTTGAGGTCAGGAGTTCAAGACCGGCCTGGCCAACATGGTGAAACCCTATCTCTACTAAAAATACAAAAATTAGCTGGGTATAGTGGCGTGCACCTGTAATCCCAGCTACTCAGGAGGCTGAGGCACGAGAATTGCTTGATCCCAGGAGGTGGAGGTTGCAGTGAGTTGAGATTTGCGCCACTGCACTCCAGCTTGGGCACCAGAGGGAGACTCCATTTCAAAAAAAAAAAAAAATAGATAGAGGGTAGCGAATATATAAAGTGAAAAAAAATAGCTATTAAAAATTAATTGTTTTTGTTTTTGATTACTTCTACATTATCTGGTCATCTGCAAAAGAATAAGAGTTCTAACTGATGGGCTAGATTCTGAAATTGTGAGGATTTAGGTGAGTGATGGGTATTGGTGAAATGATGATAATTAGGCATTAGGTTAAGGATGTTTAAAATTTTGGAGTTGACCCGGTTGGTTTCCTGCAGGACAATCAGATGCTTTTATTTTAGGATCAAGGATAACTTGTAAGAGTTCATTTCCCAACGCTACCCAATGAGAATCTGTATTTTTACCAGTCACCTTGTGATTTTTATGATCAGACAGAAGTAGGAAAGCAACTTAAAATGTTTTCTACTTAAAGTGAGTCCATGGACCAGTAGCATCTGAATCACCTGAGAACTTACTAGAAATGCAGTCTTAGTTGCCACCCAACACCTACTAATCAGAATCTGTGGTTTAACAAACTTCCCAGTTAATTGTAAGCACGTTGAAATTTGAGAAGCACTGCCTTAAAACAGTAGTTCCCAACTTCTCCCTATGATAAGAGTTCCCTAGAGATGCCTTCAAATTGCACCATTTACCAAATCTTTGTCTTGACTTATTTTATCATCTGGTAATAGTAGGTCCAGATGGAACCAGGGAATCTGTATTTTCCATAAGCTCTGTTTTTTCCTGGAAGCTCAGAATCTCATGGTTAGAATAACTATCATAACTTAAAGGTTATCTAATCCAGTCTCTCAGCTGATGTTGAAATGCTCCTTAAACAATTGCTCAGTTAATGGTTTGTAGCTTCTGCTGGGTTGCTAGCGATAGGAAATACATTACTGTGAAGCATCTTATGTCATTTTTGGACAACTTTAAATGTTAAAAAGTTTGTTAGTTTTTATTTATTTTATTTTATTTTATTTTTAGTGTTCAGCCAAAATTTGACTTGCTATAACTCAACTCATTGCCCTAATTCATTTTGTATACTTCCCATATACAGCATAGAATATAATTATTTTATGTAATGTCTTGATGAATTATGAGTAAATTCATTTAAATATTATTTTAGGATAAAGGCTCCAGTGTATAAACGGGTAATGCCTGATGGAAAAATCCAGAAATTGATTATCACAGAAGAGGTAATAAGGATAAATTCTTATTTTTCCTTAAAATATTTTCTTTTGTATATGTCTGTATAAGGTGGGGAGGAAAAAGAAACAAGATTTACTCTTTTTTGAGACAGGGTCTGGCTCCGTTGCCCAGGCAGGAATGCAGTGGTGCAGTCTTGGCTCACTGCAACCTCTGCTTCTCAGGCTCAAGTGATCCTCCCACCTCAGCTTCCTGAGTAGTTGGGAGTACAGGTACACGCCACCACACCCAGCTAATTTTTTGTATTTTTTAGAAATGGGGTTTCATCATGTTGTCTAGGCTGGTCTTAAATTCCTGAGCTCAAAGGATCCTTCCTCTGCAGCCCCCTAAAGTGCTGGGATTATAGGTGTGAGCCTCTGTGCCTGGCCCAAAGCTTACCCTTCTAAAAAATGTGATTTTCTTTGATCATTTACTAAAATGAGTATATACTTAGTCACTAGCTCTTAAAAAAATTTTTTTAACCTAGGAATGAAAAAGAACAAGCCTTTGCTTTCCATAAATAGTTTTGGATAATAATATCCAATGCATGTTTAAAACACATTTGAGATATAATTGTTTAAATTGTGGAATGTTAATGAAATTTTAAAAGATTTTAAACTTTTCGGAGGCGTTGTTTTGGTAAAAATACGAATTATGAGCAAACTTTTTCTCGATTATTTAATATATTTTCAGAAATCTTAACTGAAATATAAATTCTGTGAAGGTAGTGACTTTGTCTCTAGTTTACCACTTTATTACTTGTTGACTGAATAAATTAATACATACTTGTTTGAATGAAAATATATGCCAGTGGCAAGAGTGCAGCTGCCTTCCTATTACAAGATATTACAAAGAAAAACCTTACTGTTTGCTATCTCTAATGATATTATGAATTTCAGACAGCTAAGATACGTCCTTTTGCGGTAGCAGCAGTTCTCCGTAATATAAAGTTTACTAAAGATCGATATGATAGCTTCATTGAACTTCAGGAAAAATTACATCAGAATATTTGCAGGTTTGTGGTTGCATTTTCTTTCTTCCTTGTCTTCCCCTTTCCCTCTGCCTCCCTATCTCCTTTCCATCCTGATCCCTCACCCTCTTCTCTCTTGCCACTTCTGCCCTCTTTCTATCTCTCCTTCCTTTCTTCCTCTGCAGATTTTTCACACAGCATTTCTGAATTAATAGTATGTGGCAGATTATGAGGATTTAACTTGGCTTTACCAAATACCTGTTACTGCTTGTAAATGGCATATGCATGAAGAAACAGGAGGTATATTTTGAATATTGTATAGAGAAGAATTATCTAGTCCTAGAGACTTCCCTGCTTTTTGTTGTTGTTTTGGTTCAGATCAGCAGTGGATTATACTACTAAGTATAAACCATACTGATAATGAAGTACGATATATCATTTTTAAAATGGAAATAAAATTTTGGCTTATTCTCACTTTTTGAGTGAGAATAATTATAAATTGACAGAACTTGAGTTTAAGTGACTAAATTTTACTTATTCAGTCTTTACATTACTATGCATAATTTCCTGCACAGCTCCCTTTAGGGCAATGATCTTCAAACCTATATAATTTCTGAACTCCTAAAGGTCAGTGAAGGTAACAATGGTAATCCTTGAACTCATTTAAGTATTTCAGAATCCTAATGGAAACTATACACTTACTAATGATGACAAACCTGAGACTTCAGCTAACATATTAAGCTTATTTGTGTTGGTTCTGAAATAGATCAACATAAGTTACTGCATGTCGATACAAAGGTATGATTAATAGTTATATATGTCTCAAATAAAAATAGAAAAAGAATTTTTACTTTTTTATTTTTTTGTATGTGAGATCTGCTGCAATTATTTGCTAATAATTGTAGTTTAGTAAACTACAGAGCCTAGGAGGGGTTTATGTGTATGGGATGGGCTAGGGACGGGATAGAGGGAGAACCATAGACATTTTCTGCTATGATGAAAAACATCTTTGTGCATGTGGTAGAAGCAACACTTTTTTTCAGATTCCAAATAACGTTTATTCCCAGTCCTTTTATATAGAAGAGTTTATATTTCAGCTTGCTAATATGTCATTATTAAGCAAAACAATAACAATTTAAATATAATTTCAAAATTAAGAACAAAATACAAGATTTCTGACAAGTATAGGTGTAACTTAAGTGGCTGAGCTAGATTATCTGCTCTGGCTCTATTATCTTTTTTATTTTAAGAAGCTATTTTAATCTAAACAGACATTGTCTTAATTTAACTTTAAGCTCTGTTTTATTTGGTATTTCTGGAAATCATGAGCTTTTTCTAAGGGGAAGAGAATTGAACACATCCTAATACTTTGTTGTGCCAGAGTTCTTTTCTGTCAGTAAATCCTAATTAACCTCTTTAATGAGCTTTGGAAGTTTATGTATTTCAAGGAATATATTGATATTGTCTAAGTTATTAAATTTATTGACAAAGTTCATAATATTTCCTTATTATCCTTTTAATATCTGTGGTATCTGTAGTGATGTCACCTCTTTCATTTCTCTGTCTTCTCTCTTTTTTTTCCTTTGATCAGTGTGGCTAGAGGTTTATCAGTTTTATTGATCTTTTTCTTTGTTTGTTTGTTTGTTTATTTTGAGACAGGGTTTTGCTCTGTTGTCCAGGCTGGAGTCCGGTGGCATGATCATCTCATTGTAACCTCAAAACTCCTGTGCTCAAGTGATCCTCCTGCCTCAGCCTCCTAAGTAGCTGGAACTACAAGCATGAGCCACCACACCTGGCTAATTTTTTAATTTTTTGTAGAGATACGGGTCTTGCTTTGTTGTCCAGGCTGGCCTTATAGGCTTTAAGTGATCCTCCTGTCTCAGCCTCCCAAAGTCCTGGGGTTACAGGCGTGAACCACTCATTTTATTGATCTTTCAAAGAATGAACTTTTGGTTTCATTGATTCTTCTCTTATTTTTTTCCTCTATTTTTATTGATTAAGCTTCTTTCTTAGGCTAATTAGTCCCTACTGCTGAGGCAAGACCCTTTTGCCTACTGTATCCATTGCTACATGAGCAGTGAAGTTTTAGTCTGTGTGAACATGGAGCACTGTTTCCTCTGATTCCCTTGAGTACTTCTTTCCTGGCCTTGGGTAGTTTTCTCAGCTGCATGTTCTGATCAATAGTGAGCTCACCAGTACTTGAGTGGGACCCTCTGCATATCTTCAGAGTTCTCTCTGTGTGTAGCTCTCTGCTTTTCTCCAGTACTCTGCCCACCTTGGCCTCCCAAACTCTCAGCTATGTCTCTTGCTCTCAGAGTCTCCTGGGCTCCACTGGGCCCTCTTTCCTGCCCTATAGTCAGGGCTCATCTCACTTGTTTACTGTGTCTCAGGGATTGCTGCCCTTCATTGCCTGCTGTTAGGTGCCATAAAAACTATTGCTCCGTACATTTTGCTCTTCGGTTGTTTCAGGCAAGAGTAAATCTAGTGTGTTACTCTGTCTTGGCTTGAAGTACCTAGTGAGTCTTATACTTCAGTTATTTTACTTTTCATCTCTGCAATCCACTGCCTTTAAAAAAAAATAGTTCCTTCTTTTCTGCAGATATTTCCTCATCTATTTATTATGTGTATGTTCTTCCATAATTCTTGAACATTTTTTAGTAGCGGCTTTAAAATCTGTGTGGCAGTATCAGAATCTGGGGCATCTTAGTGTTGGTTTCTATAGACTGGTTTTGTCTGGAGTAAGAGTCATGTGTTCCATATTTCTTCTCATATCTGTTGCCTTTTGATGCATATAGAATATCATATTAGGGAAGAGTCTTGACTTTGCTGTGTTTCTCTGAAGAGTGGTTTTTGTTCTTTCAGGCAAATACTTGAATACTTAGCTAGATTCAGACTCGGCAGTGGTTCAGTTTTCCACTCAGTTCTTTCAGCTTTCAGTTGCTGCTCTTTTATAGCAGGACTTTGAAATTTTTACCATTATGTTAGATAAAATCTTGATTTCTGAATATTTTTGGTTTTTTCATATCTTACTATATTTGGAGTGTTAATCTTTTTCCTGTACATATGTTGTAAACCTTTTTTGTATTTTTTGACTTTTGGTTTCTTTTGGACATGTAAGGTTTTTAATTTGGGTATAGTTATCAGTCTTTTTGTATGACTTTTAGATTTTATGACCTACTTAAGAAGCAGTGTCCTATAATTTTAAGCATATTCTTCTATATTTTCTTATCTTTTTGTTTTGTTTTGTTTTGTTTTTGAGACAGGGTCTCACCCTGTTGCCCAGGCTGGACTACAGTGGTGCAGTCACAGCTCACTATAGCCTTGACCTCCCTGGCTCAAGTGATTCTCCTACCTCAGCCTCCCAAGTGGCTGAGACCACAAGTGTGTGGCACCATAGCCAGCTAATTTTTATATTTTTTGTGGAGTTGGGGGTCTCACCATGTTGCCCAGGCTGGTCTTGAACTCTTGGGCTCAAGCAGTCTTCCTGCCTTGGCCTCCTAAAGTGTTGAGATTTCAGGCATGAGCCACCCCACCTGGCCTCTATATTTCCTTGGAATAATTTTTATGGTGTCTTTTGTATGTGTGCCTGTATGTTTGTCTTTTGCTTTTCAAAATGCTTAGGTCTTTGATTCATCTGGAATTATGTTTTTTTGGTTGCTGATTTGAAGTTGAAATTTTGGTGATGTTTTGAGGTGCTGTTTTAGGATTAAGGGACCAATATTAACATCTAAGAAAACAGACTTTCTTACCTGTGCATTTGTCAATTATTAATTTACCTACATTTATTGAACCATGTATATTTTATCCTGTGATAGTTCTGGGTTTATTATCTTCTGTAAGCATATGAGTAATTGAGTAAAGTAACTCTCCCTTATTGCCTGTTAACATTTCTTTTCAACCCTGTTTATTAAAGTTCTAGTTCACCAGTCCTGCAGTCCTGGAAGCTGACTAAAATTTAATATTAAGCATTTTAAACTAATTTTAGTGCACATACTTTTTAAACTAAAGTATGTTAAGAACACAAATTTTGACCAAGTTCCTCTTTTCAAATTGACTGTTAGAAAGCCAAACTTGTGACCTTTCCTGGTAAGACTTAGGCCTTTAGATTCTAATTCAGAATTAACATTTCCTGGCTCAGTTTTACATCCCTACTTCTATTTCTTTCTCTCCTATTTTGTAGCTTGCTGTAATTTCCTAAAATTACCTTAAATCCTTTGTGGATAAACTGTAGAACAAGTGAAATGAATACCTTTGGAACTTTCCTTATACATTAAAGTAAACTTGAACTGTAATTCAGAGCTCTTAAAATTAAATTTTTTCCACAACTAAAGTAATGCAGCTATGTGATAAAATTTAGGAAAACATAGAAAAGCCAAAAACCCCACAATTTGGTAGTTCATTCTAATTTATTAAAACATGTTTACTTGAGTATATCAAGAAGAAATAGGTTAAAAGAGGTAAAGGAAATGCTAACTTTGAAGATATCTTAGAAACAGCATTTGGGAAAACATAATGGCAAGGAATTTTCTTCAGCTCCTGAAATCATGTGTTTCGTGTAGTTTTGTGATTTCTCAGTACTCTTAATGGTTGTGAGAATTTGTTCATTATATGCCACTAATGATGCCATGTAGTAGCAATATGCTGTTTCAGGGAAGTATCTGAAATAATTTAAAAAAATATGTAGTCTATGTTTATGTGCTTTAGAATATTCAAATCTGTCTCATTCTTCTTTCCTTTCCTCCCTCCTTCTCCCTCACCCTCTCCACAATTAGGAAAAGAGCATTGGTTGCTATTGGCACCCATGATTTGGACACTTTGTCAGGCCCATTTACTTATACTGCAAAGCGTCCTTCAGATATTAAATTCAAGCCTCTAAATAAGACCAAGGAGTATACAGCCTGTGAACTGATGAACATATACAAGGTAAATATTCCTTTTGATTATGCCGCAGCTTCGCAAAAATCATGAAATTCCATCAAAGTCAAGTCTTGCAACTAGGGAAATGTAATGAATACTTTTAAAAAATTGCAGTGTCTGGGCTCCAACCTAGAGATAGTGATTCATCTGATCTAGAGTGGGACCTGAACATAGTTTTATTTTATTTATTGTTACATTTTTAACCTCTGATATGATTTCAGTGTACTGCTAGGATTGAGAACCACTGAAGTAGACCGTACCACATTGTAATCTGCAGTTGAAACTCATGCAAGTCTAAAGAACAGCAAGACTTAGCTAGTGTTTTTTGTGGGAAATACTGTTACAAGCTGTCTATCTCCCATTATTTAGAAGTCCAGCAGGGAAAATGAATTCAGTAGTCACTTTGGATTGTATTTAATAAGTAGAAAAAATCGTTGTCATTTAGAAAAAGCAGTGTCATCTTTGCCCTGATTTGCAAGTGACTTCTTCCGATTTATCTAAATAGTTTTGTCATGGTTTATGTTTCCTTTGAAATGATTCAGGCATACCAGTGCAAATCTGTTTTCATTCTCGAGAAATGACTCAATTATGTGCATTGAATATTGGAAGATTAATTTATATTAGAAAATCTTATAAATTTAGAACTTTCTTTAATTTGGGTCTGTTTTAATGTTTTTCTGACTTTTCCCCTCCTTTATTTTTTATTTTATTTTATTTTATTTTTTTTTGAGATGGAGTCTCGCTCTTGTTGCCCAGGGTGGAGTGCAATGGCGCAATCTCAGCTCACCGCAACCTCCACCTCCTGGGTTCAGGTGATTCTCCTGCCTCAGCCTTCCGAGTAGCTGGGATTACAGACGTGTGCCACCATGCCCAGCTAATTTTGTATTTTTAGCAGAAATGGAGTTTCTCCATGTTGGTCAGGCTGGTCTCGAACTCCTGACCTCAGGTGATCCAGCCGCCTCAGCCTCCCAAAGTGCTGGGATTACAGGCATGAGCCACCATGCCTGGCATTCCCTTCTTTTTTAATATTAGGTCAGTATGTAAACTATAGTGATAGAAATAAAAAAAAACCAAACTAATTTTATTTGACTTAATTTGTTTTCAGACTGATAATCACCTTAAACATTATTTACATATCATTGAAAACAAACCCCTGTATCCTGTTATCTATGATAGCAATGGTGTCGTCCTTTCAATGCCTCCCATCATCAATGGTGAGTTATTTTATAAGCATCACAGATCTTTGCTGTTTCTTTTTAATCTTCAGCATTTCTCTAGAATTCTCAATAGACTTGGCTAAATCAAATTCAAATAACTCATAATCTGAGTATCTCAGGTCCTTTGTAGATTCTAATCATTCTTTTCATTCATTTATTCAACAACATTTTACTGGTGATTCTTATGTAATTTATAATATGTTCATACACTTATAAATATTTTCTGATGCTAGGCTTTGGGTTCTGTTATATTTCTCCCAAGGTTATTGATGTTTTGGTTTTAGCAGGTAATTCACTTGGTTAAACTCAAAGTCAAACTCTGTCATGTCTGTAGCTTTTTTTCTTTTGTGTGTTTTTTTTTTAATTTTGAGACAGGCTCTTGCTCTGTCACTCAGGCTGGAGTGCAGTGGTGCAGTCATGGCTCAGTGCAACCTTAAACTCCTGGGCTGAAGCGATTCTCCCACCTTGGCCTCCCAAAGCCCTGGGATTACAGATGTGAGCTGCCATGCCTAGCCTTGCCTAGTTATATAGTTAAACGAAAGCTTTTAATTTAAATTTTGCCCTCTCAATTCCTTTCTGAAGGCTATTTTTATGAGACAGTTTGAATGTATTTACAAAATTTAATGATGTCTGAGACATAGATGTTTGCCTTTCTGGAGGTAAGAAGGAGGCTTAGCTGATTTGCTATGAGAAGAAGAAGCTTCTTCTCGAGATCTTGGACCCTAGCAGTTACAGCAGTTAAGAACATGGGCCCCAGAGTTAACCAGATCTAGACCCAAATCCTAGCCTTGCTGCTCGTGATCATGGTCAAATAATTTAATCTCTCTAAACTTAGTTTCTGGCCAGCAATTATATCATGGGGTTGTGGTAAAGATTAGAGGAGACAACCTGTGTTAAGTGCTTGACATAGCACCTGACACATTGTATGCATTCAGTAAAGGCCTGTTAATTATTTTATTTTTACTCTTCAACTTGCAGTGGGAGCTTTAAATAAAAATTGTTTTTCCCTTTGCTCTTAAGGTGTTAGTTTTTTTTTTGTTGTTGTTTTTTGTTTTTTTGAGACAGAGATTTGCTCTTGTTGCCCAGGCTGGAATGCCATTGCACCATGTCGTGTCATTGCACCATCTCAGCTCACCGCTACCTCTGCCTCCTGGGTTCAAGTGATTCTCCTGCCTCAGCCTCCCAGGTAGCTGGGATTACAGGCATGTGCCACCATGCCTGGCTAATTTTGTATTTTTAGTAGAGAAGGAGTTTCTCTGTGTTGGTCAGGCTGGTCTCGAACTCCTAACCTCAGGTGATCTGCCCAACTCGGCCTCCCAAAGTGCTGGGATTACAGGTGTGAGCCACCGTCCCTGGCCAAGGTGTTAGTTTTTAATATGTTTTACATTTAAAATGTAGTTTCTGTTTTGTTGAGCTTAATAGTGCACTTCTATTTCTAAAACTAGTTATTCTGTTGTTACTGTTTTGTGTTCATTGCAGGAGATCATTCCAGAATAACAGTAAATACTAGAAATATTTTTATTGAATGCACGGGAACTGACTTTACTAAGGTAAATAAAACTTTTACTCAATTTTTGTATGATCAGATGGGACAGATTTTATTTCCAGATGAAGACTAAATGGCTAAAATTTAAAATATGTGCATTTTGTAGGTGGGAACATATTTTAGAAATTTAGACAATTAAAAAGATAGAGATATTCTACACTTTGGTTATGGTGCTTTCATTAATTCGACAGATGTTTAGTGAACACCGAGTTATCTTTCCAGTGCCAGGAATTTAATAATGAGTTACATGTTTCTTCACATGAAAGAACTCCTGCTGGGAGAGTTAGTCATGTACATAACTATAAAACACAACATGGAATGAGTACTGTAGGGAGATCCATATAAATTGTTTATCTAGTTGACTTAATTTGTATGTGGAGTAATTTGGTTAAAAAAAAAAAGAAAAGAAAAATGAACTGGGTTGAAGAAGCTTTGTTTAGTAAATTGATAAATGGTTTATGCACACAGAATTATCTAGACTATAATTCTACACCCACTTTTAGTCAGTTCATCTATTGGATTGGATTGCTATGAAAGCTTTTCTATGACATATGACTTCTTTACATATGTTAAATGAGGTGGCAGTTAAAGAATTTAAGAAAGGTAACCTCAAATGGCAGGAGAAGGCTGGAGTATAGAAATAGGGCAAATAAATGGTATTCATGTACATCTTATAGGATTAGAGACCATTGTAAGGTATTTCATTTATAACTTTTATGTACTCCTTGCCTTCAGAAATACTGTCAGGGTAATACAGCTTTAATATTAATTTTTTTAAAAAGTTTAATTCATGCATTTACAGACCTTGAATGTCTTTGCTGAAGCCTGTATATATAGGAGTGAAATATATATATAAGAGTAAAGCATATATTCCAATAAGGTCACTGTATTTTTTTTCTAAGAATTTTTTTTGAAATAGATAAATATTTAACAAATCTATATGATCTTTACTACATGCCAATGTATTTAATCTTCATAAGAACCAGACAAGATAGGAACTTTCATTATCTCCTTAACAGGTTAGAAAAGTGGCTTGCCCAATGTCATACTGCTAGTAAGTGCTAGCCAGGATTCAAGCAGTCTGGCTTCAGAGACTTAGGAGATTGTTAAGATTTATTCCAGTAATTAGCCATTTGTCTCTGTTGAAGCCCAGTGAACCTGAGGTTGGGGGTAGTGAGGGAACGAAACGATTTGTCTCAGTCATGGATTATAACTGTCAGAGAACTGCATAAACGCAGAACACCTGAAGATAAGGCGAGACCTACTCTTGCTTTTATTCCACTTCCTTTCTTAAAATGTATATGTATATGTAAAGGTCCGTTAGATGTTTGGGGACACAATTATATTAAATATTTATTCATTTCCATCTGAGTGAAGAGAATATAGATTACTATAATACTTGCTTTTCTTTTCTTTGCAGGCAAAAATAGTTCTTGATATTATTGTCACCATGTTCAGTGAATACTGTGAGAATCAATTTACGTAAGTTCATCCAGCACCTTTATTGATGGCCCATTGTTCTGAAGGCAAGGCTTTGCGCTAAATATAAAGATAGGCCAGGTGTGGTGGCTCACACCTATAATCCCAGCACTTTGGGAGGCTGAGGCGGGAGGACTGCTTGAGCCCCGGAGTTCAAGACCAGCCTGGGCAACATAGGAAGACACCGTATCTACAAAAAATTAAAAAATTGCTTGAGTTTGGTGGCTTGCTCCTGTGGTTCCAGCTATTGGGGAGACTGAGACAGCAGGATTGCTTGATTCTGGGAGGTCAAGGCTGCTGTGAGCTATGTTTGTGCCACTGCACTCGAGACTGGATCATAGAACGAGACACTGTCTTAAAAAAAAAATGAATGAATAAACAAATAAATATAAAGATTAAAAATGTGGTTCCTGTAACTAGAACATATAATCTGTTCAGGGAGATAAGACATATGCATAAATATTGGATAAAGTGATAAGCGTTAAGTACTTTAAAAAGTTTCGGTGATATTCTGGCTGTTTGTAAGGGCAAGTTACTGCCAGCTGATACAATCTGAGAAGGCTTCATGGAGGCAACGAAATTTAAGCTGTGTTTGGGGATCACTGGATTTGAGAATATATAGTTGGAAGAACAGCAAAAGAACAGCTAGAGGTAGAGAGGCATATGTAAGAGCAAAGCATGTATCCCATATCGGTAAGATTACTGTATTTTTTCCAAAGCATATTTTTAGTTTAAAAAGCTATTTAACAAATCTATATGATCCTTAGTACTAGCATCGTAGTTTATTCTAGAATATTAATATAATTGAAAACAAATATATAACTGTAGAAAGCGTGATTGAAATTATATGGGCAGTATCAGGTTTTTTTTCAATTGATTTTTATTTCAGTGATTCTGTCAGTTTTATTGTGTAACACACTGCCCTGGTAAAGCCTAGAATGTGTGTGTCAATATTGGCAAGGAGTCCCCGTAGGATGCATGCTTTGCGGTACTGGGAAATAAACCTTTCAAGGAAGTGGTGCCTGAAAAGGACATTGGAGCCCTAGGAGATGAAACGGTAGAGTAATATTGTATATAGCAAGATCAATCCAAACAGTGTTGGAATGCGATAGATGGAATATGTTGAGGCTGTAGTTGTAGCCCAAATGAAAGATTTGATAACCATACACATGTCTATAATTTATGGCACATCATTTTTTTCTTAAGTATTTTATTTCTGACTTTTGTTTTCAGGGTCGAAGCTGCTGAGGTGGTTTTTCCTAATGGAAAATCATATACCTTTCCAGTAAGTGCTTAAGAAATGACTTCATGATTATGACAACAATACTAATAATAATGGCTAGAGACCACTCATGTTCTGTCTGTCTATCCGTCCCCTACCTACCCACTCGTGTGCCAGCTGCTATACTGTGTGCATTACATGGATTTAGTCCTCACAATCGTCCTGTGAGGATAGGTGCTATTATTATGCTTTTTCCGGATGGAGTCCCTGAGACTTTGAGATGTTAAATACCTTGCTTATCATTTTTAAGTGGTAGAGCTAGAATCTAAATTCAGACAGTTTGACTGCAGCTGTCAACACACAACATTATACAACAACATTGTGTGGTCATAATTCCTCTGATTTATTCTCCTATTAACTAATTAACTGAGTAGTTTTTTAAAAAAAGTTTTTTTAATTGGCACATAATAATTATACGTATTTATGGGGTACAGTGTGATGTTTCAATACATGTATATAATATGTAATGATCAAATCATGGTAGTTGGTATAGCCATCATATCAGACATTTACTGTTTTGTTGTGTTGGGAACATTCATAGTCTGCTCCTCTATATTTGAAAATATACAATAAATTTTTGTTAATTATATTATAGCATCCTACAGTGCTGTAGAACAATAGAACTTATTAAATAAGTAATTTATAGTCTCACTCCTTTTAAGATTACTCAACCCTCCGAACGTAGTCTGTTCACACTTGAATTAACAGTTGCTGAAGGCCATCACTGTAACTAATAAATAATTTCAAATGTATTATTAAGACTAATTTAGTAGTAAGCACACAGTTATTGTCAAGACATAAGATCTTGGTAAAAAATCTAAACCAGTATTATTCCTGGGGGGTTTTGTCCCCCTCACCCAAGTGACTTGACATAAAGATAACTGTTCTAAAACATAACAGTATCACAGTCACTTTGTGGTTCTCATACAGTGAGGGCATTCTTTGATGAGCTTTTTCTTCCCCTTTGAATCTTTCACTATTCCCTTGTCATTTATGAAGTAAATCACAGCCTGAAATGGTTTCTGCTATTTAAATAGCTTTTACAGTAGATGAAACCTGCTAAGATCAAAACCTCCCCATTCCAGAAGACATTAACATTTAACATCATATTTTATTCTAAGCATTAATTATACTTCAAAATACACATATAACTGTATGAAGCATAACTGAAATCATATAGGCAATATTTTTAAAAGTTGATTCGGATTTAAGTATCTATTATAAGTTAACTTTTGTTATTTAACAAACTACCCCCAAGACTTAGTGGCTTAAAACAACAACCATTTATTTATCTCATGATTCTCTTGGTCACTACAGTGGTTTTCCTGGTCTGAGCAAGTCTGGCTAATCTCTGCAGGGCTTACCCATATGTAGTCAGTTGACTGGTTGGCTAGCAACTGGATGATCTGGGATGGCCTCACTCATGTCTGCTTCTTGGCAGTGGGGTCAACAACTCCAGTGTCCCTCATCATACAGCAGGCTAGCTTGGGCTTTTTTACTTGGGGTTACAGGGTTCCTAGCAGCAAGAGAGCATGCCCAGTGCCCAGGTGTTTTTCAAATATTATTCTGTTGGCCAAAGCCAGTCATGTGGCTAGATTTGATGGGTGGAGAAATAGATGCCATCTCCTGATTGGAAGATTGGCAGTATCACATTGCAAGGCCATGGATACAGAGAGGGGGGAAATTTGTGGCCGTTTTTACAGTTTACGACAGTAGCAATTGGGATTAGCTGGAGATAGCTTTTTAGATGGTTTTAAAATTATGTCAGAGAGTTTCTTTTTCTTCTTCTTCTTTTTTTTTTTTTTTGAGGAGTCTCGCTCTGTTGCCCAGGCTGGAGTGCAGTGGCGCAATCTCGGCTCACTGCAAGCTCCGCCTCCCAGGGTCATGCCATTCTCCTGCCTCAGCCTCCCGAGTAGCTGGGACTACAGGTGCCCGTCACCACACCCAGCTAATGTTTTTTTGGTATTTTTAGTTGAGACGGGGTTTCACCGTGTTAGCCAGGATGGTCTCGATCTCCTGACCTTGTGATCCGCCTGCCTCGACCTCCCAAAGTGCTGGGATTACAGATGTGAGCCACCGCGCCCGACCTCTTTTTAATATGAAGATTTTATAGTGTTAATAAAAGTGATTGTATATTTTTGGGAAGAAAATGAGAAATATATTTTAATATTTGGTTCACTCTTCTCCTCATATGGATAATCCCTTAAAGTCATGTATTTGTAATATAGAGATCTTTCATAAATTTGAAATGATGAGCTTTCTGAAAAGGAGTACTGCATGAGTGTTTTGGCATTTGTTCATTTATTTCTTCCTAAACTTAAATTAGAACAGCTTTTCTTAGGGAAGGATCCTCTGGGGGAAACTGATTCTCTCTCACATGAAATAGCATCTTTTCTTAAACTCTTTGAAAGTTTTTTTTTCTTGTGTTTTGTAATTTCATAGAAAAGTATAAAGTGGTTTTTTTTTGTTTTTTTTTTTTAATTTTTTTTTTTTTGAGACGGAGTCTCGCTCTGTCGCCCAGGCTGGAGTGCAGTGGCACAATCTCGGCTCACTGCAAGCTCCGCCCCCCAGGGTCACGCCATTCTCCTGCCTCAGCCTCCCGAGTAGCTGGGACTACAGGCGCCCGCCACCGCGCCCGGCTAATTTTTTGTATTTTTAGTAGAGACGGGGTTTCACTGTGTTAGCCAGGATAGTCTCGATCTCCTGATCTTGTGATCCGCCCGCCGCGGCCTCCCAAAGTGCTGGGATTACAGGTGTGAGCCACCACGCCCAGCGAAAAGTATAAAGTTTTAAAGTAAGAGAACTAGAGGAGATAAGTTGTCAGTAGTCAGACAGACTAACGGTGTGTGCTTTGGAATTGGGTTGTCTTAATTTATTTATTAATTCATTAATTTGTTCATTAGTTACTTTTTTTTGTTTGTTTGAGATGGAGTCTTGCTCTGTTACCCAGGCTGGGGTGCAGTGGCGCCGTCTCAGCTCACTGAAACCTCCACCTCCTGGGTTCAAGCGATTCTCCTGCCTCAGCCTCCCGAGTAGCTGGGATTACAGGCTCGTGCCACCACGCCCGGCTAGTTTTTGTATTTTTAGTAGAGATGGGGTTTTACTATGTTGGCCAGGCTAGTCTCGAACTCCTGACCTCAGGTGATCCACCTGCCTCGACCTCCCAAAGTGCTGAGATTACAGGCATGAGCCACCATGCCCAGCCATTTGTTACTACTTATATGCATGCATTCACTCATCAAATATATATACCAAATGCTTATTATCTGATAATCATTTTCTAAGCACTGGGCATATAGCAACACTTGGACTTGGCAGTTTACTATTATGACCTGGAACTAATTATTCACCTAAAATTCAAATTCCTTACCTGTCAAATGAGAATACTAATAGCATTTGTTGTGAGGATTAAGTAAGATTATCTTAAAAGTGTATCTTGTATTGTTCATCTCATAATAACTATTTAGTTCATAGTAACCATTGAGAAAAGTGACTTACTACTTTGTAATCTTCACCTTGTGCCTCCCAAACCCTGCAGTGCATTCTCATCACCTGGGGATTTTGAAAACGTGCAGATTGGGCTTCAGTAGCTCTGGTGCCACTGCCACTAGCTATCAAGACCTGCAGTCAGCCTTTCTCATGAGCACTTAGGTGATGCTGGTGCTCTGAGGTGCTCTTAGGTCTACTCTGAGGACTGTAGTTTGTGTAGCAAGGTTCTGGACCATTGCCCTTACTTGAATCAAAACAGGTCTTTAAATTTATGACCTTTTTGCTAGTGACATGTTATACTTTTGAGAGTAATTGAGTGATAAGAAATATTCATAAAGACATTTCCAAAGGTGTTGAAAAGCCTGGGTTTTTATGTGTGTGTTCTCACATCACTAATATGGTGGAGTTACATGCTGTCTGAAGAAGACTGAGAACCAAATTCATTAGATACTCCTACCCCTATTGTCTTCTGGAGCAGATTGGTAGCCATAACATCATTGCATTTCCCCACCTGGAAATTGTAAGAAAAGAATATCTTCATCATGCTCTTAGACTTAGTATGATGAACATTGTGACATTGGAATTACTCTTTCTTGCTCATATCCATCTGCTTGCATGGGACAAGACTGAAAATCTTTAGCAGGGTTCATAAACATCTTTGGAATGATGTAGCACAGCAGTGTTTTACCATGGGGAATGGGGATTGACTATCTGAAAGGGAAAAATGTTTGGCATTTTATATTATTTCCAGGCAGTGCAAACTGTCTAGCAAGTAGGATGTTCACGTATGAATCTAATGTAACAAATTTATACCTCATAATACTGTTTTTGAAACATCAAGTTTATTCTCAATCTGTGGCTCTAATGACAATTTCTTGGGAACGTAATCGAACTGCAATAATGACTAATTTAATGGAAAAGAGTCTAAAGCTGTATCTGATGGGAAATGATTTACTTTTTAAACTCTTTCTCTTTAAGGAATTAGCTTACCGAAAGGAGATGGTGAGAGCTGACCTCATTAACAAAAAAGTTGGAATCAGGTATGCTCTGAAAACTTCACTTAATTCAAGAACAAAGTACACATATGACTAATTTTTTTTTGCGATCCTTCAGAGTCGGTTACGGAATGATAAAACATCAGTAAACATGTCTAGTTTCTGATAGAACTCAAAAAGAAAGATTACTATTTCAGCTAGTAGCGTATGTTGAAACACAATGCAAACATTAAAAAATAATCCAATGAAGTTTATGGTTTGTTCATTCCTTTTTCAGAGAAACTCCAGAAAATCTTGCCAAACTTCTGACAAGGATGTATTTAAAATCAGAAGTCATAGGTGACGGGAATCAGATTGAGATTGAAATCCCTCCAACCAGAGCTGACATTATCCATGCATGTGATATTGTAGAAGATGCAGCTATTGCTTATGGATATAACAACATTCAGATGACTCTCCCGAAAACTTACACCATAGCTAATCAAGTAAGATTGCACCCTTAAATAAACACTCCTTATTGTTAGAAACTGATTATTGAAAGCCAGGAAGGCTTCGAGAAAACAGAACGTAGGAATCAAGCAGTATTTGGACATGCTCTGCAATGAGAGGCATTTGCTATGGAGAGGATACAAAACAGATGCCCAAATGATTAGAGTAAGTTGAAAACCTGTGATGACTAGTTCTTTGAAGAAAGACAGGTTTCGAGTTTGGAGCCCTTGTTGAATCTCTCAGAGGTTCATTTTCTCAACTTGGGCCTGAAGGCAGAAGCTGTGTGTGGGAGAGATGGAAGTGGGGGTGGTTTATACATCTGTGTAAAAGCAGAGCGGTGGCAGAACGGTGGGGAGGGAGGAGGTAATATTGGTAGGGAAATGGTGGCATTAGCAGTACGTAAGGGTGAAAAGGTATTTAATCTTTTAAACATTTTTATTTAAAAAATTATTTAATGACATGTTCTGTATAAATCTCCCTTTTAAAAAACAAGAAATATTGAGGTGAAATCAAATGGATACTTTTTTTTTCAGTTTCCTCTTAATAAGCTCACTGAACTTCTCAGATATGACATGGCAGCCGCTGGCTTCACTGAAGTGCTTACCTTTGCCCTGGTATGTCTTACATGCTTTTTCTGCCCAGCTTATTGTTTACTTAGACTCTCTGAATTATTTATTCTATGATTCTTTATAAGAATTTATAAAATCTAGACTGTTAGAACTTCCAGATTCTGAAAGAAAACCTTTGTTACTTGAGATTATACAATTCCTGGAAAAGTAATGTTGAAGCTTTTCTTTTTACAGCCACAAAAGAAAATGAAGGCCTAGAAAAAAATACTTTAAATGACAGATGACAAAGTATTTTATAGTTTGATGTGAGTGTTGAGAGTTCACAATGTATTTCATAACCAAATTTATTAAGTTAGAATATTTGGTCTTAATTTGGTTATGGCTGTGCCCACTAGATGCCGCCCTGGGTAAAGGCTTGTGGGCTGTTCCACATTATATTAATTTCTTTGTCTTTGAACATGTTCACAAACATTTGCTTTGAGTTGAAAAGCTGACATAAAAGGCCTAAATCAGGAAATGACTTTTATTACAAAATCAGAAGGAAATCTCCCTCCCCCACCAGATTGACTATATGAAAGAATAAAATGTGTATGCAATTTGTAGTTCCATTTTTCCCTCTTGCTGAGCATTTCTGCGATGCCTACAATGTAGTTCTTCAGCATTCAAGTATGTTTAATCTATGAGGGGAAAGGAAGCTACTTCTTTTTCTCCTCTGCAACTCAGCCCTAGCCCTGAAATTCTCAATCTTTTATGGTATTTAAAGGACCCTACTTCTAGTTTGCTTAATACTTTGATTTTTCTGATTCAGCAGTCATTCATTCAACATTTGTTGAGCATTTATTATATGTCAGGCACTGCACCAGTGAGGAAGCCTGAGGCTGAGAGAGGATAAGTACGTAGCACATTTTACACGGACAGCAGGAGAACTGCTGTGTTCCTGGCCACTATACTTGCATGATCTCATTATATCATGAGCAGAGTCCTGACCTTGGCCTCCTAGAACAGTGCTTTTCCATGGTCTCATACCATGTACGCTAGGTCTGCAATGCCGTGTCATTCATCTGTGTACATATATATACACATATTTGTAGTTGTGAGCATCCACGATTTCATGTAAAATGAAATACCAAAAATAACATTGAGAAATATATTTTTATTTTTTAAAACATATGAGTGTCATAGGAATACACCTTATTTTAAAGGACTCATACTTTAACCATGTAGAGTAAACCATAACAGTTCTCTTCCTCACTTCGAATCCTCTTTTCCTCCCCAGAAACAACTGCTGTTAAAACTTGGATATGCATTTTTCTCTGCCCTTTTATATTAGTGGTGCAGTTTAATTTTGTAACCTTGGAGACTCATGTGTCTTTAGAGGAGCACAGAGGCTGAGTCTTGACTAGTGGCTTCTCTGCAGGGAATGTTTACCCTGTGCCAAGGGCTTTGTGTACATGATTCCGTTTCTTCTCAGTATACTCCTGTGAAGTAGGCGTTCCTGTCTTTCACAGCAGTTAATTTAAGTAACTTGTCCTACGCCGTGGCTGTGGATCAGGGATTCCCGCCCATGCCTGTCTGCATCCAAGGCCTGTGACTGAACTGTCACACCAGGGATGTTAGAAACAGTCTGTTCAGCTGTCCAAAGTCACTTTAATATATTCATTGTTTATCACTGAGGGGAAGAGAAAGGGGTGAGCTCCTAGAGAGTTTCAGATTTGTACTAAATTTTCCTGTAGGAATTTTAACATTAAAGATGTTTACAAAGATGTTTATAGGCAAGCCTAAGCATCACTGAGCAAAGACGGTCTATGTTGTTAAATCCAGTTTTGCACAAGAGTAACAGCCATTTTTTTTCCCTGAAACCTAGTCCCTGACTTTCCAAGTGTAAATAATTCACATTTCATCATAATGATTTTTGCTATATCTGCATAGTAGTTATAATATATTCTTTTAAATTGGCTCACTTTTAAGTTGACCTATGTACTTCAGCCTTGTTATAGGAATAATATCTGTAAAAATTATGAGGTTCATTTACTTGTTGTATTTTTCTAACACATTAAAATAAACACATAAATATTAACATTAAAAAAGTTCCTGGCAGGCATGTAATCCCGTGCACTTTGGGAGGCCTAGTTGGGCGGATCACTTGAGGCTACGAGTTCGAGACCAGCCTGGCCAACTTGGCAAAACCCCGTCTCACTAAAAATACAAAAATTAGTCAGGTGTGGTGGTGCACACCTGTAATCCCGGCTACTCGGGAGACTGAGGCAGGAGAATCGCTTGAATCTGCCTGGGAGATGGAGGTTGCAGCAAACCGAGATTGCGCCACTGAACTCCAGTGTGGGCGACAGAGTGAGACTGTCTCAAACAAAAAAAAAAGTTTCTTACTGTGTACTAACTACTGCCACTTCAGGGTAGCTTAATTTAAATTGCCTCTTGTCACTATCCCTTATTATCCATCGCCGTGATAAAATACAAGGTCACTTAGATACACAGCTGCATTGCCATGTGTCTGTGTAGTGTTTTTTCCTTTTACACAGAGAACTAGTTTCATTTGAGAGTAGATTGCTTCATGTCAATTGCATTTCCTAATTAATCAATCAAATTATACCTAAATGTTGGTATAAAACTTCTTTATGCTGTGGGGAAAACGCTTATCCCCAGTGTGCCTGCCACCATTCTCCACCTCAGCAGCCATAGCAGATCAGGGAGCTGTTTTCTGCTATGCCTGGATGTGGCTTCAGGATCTTTCTCTGGAAAGCATGGCAAGAATCACTAGAACTGACATTGACATGAAATGAATTCTTCTTACCATTTCAGTTGGTGTGTGCCATTTTGTTTTAATAAGTGAAATGCATGCCAACTAGCCTTTGAAAACTAGTTGTAGAACAGTATAATGAACAATATTGCCTAACATTGGAAAATAGTACAATAATCTGATAGTACGTCAGTTTTTGTGTTACGTTTTAAATGCTCTTTCAAAAAGCTAGCATTAATATACATGATAATAATTTATCCTTGGTAATGATTTGTCAGTTATCATCATTGTTGATATTTTTTGAGTGCTTACTCTGTGCCAGGCACCCACTTGCATTATCTCATTATAACATTTATTATTAAACTTGATGTATCTAATCGTCAGTGAGTTTTTAATTTCATAACTTCTGCCTACAATGCTGGTTTCTGAGGGTGGCAAGCATCTTTCTCTTTGATCACTGGGTACTCAGCAGTTTATTTGTTGTAAGAGTTTCAGGCATGTGCACAGAAGTTAAGTGATACAATAAAAGAGCACTGGGCAGAGTTCCAGTCACTTGAATTCTGTTCTCAGTCCTACTGTTCTGCCACAAGTCAGTGTGGATTTAGCAAGGGTTACAATGGTAGTCAAAATGGAAAGTCATGAAATACCAAGGAGGGAGAGAAAGTTTCTGACTAGAGTCATTAGGAATATTATTACGGAAGAGAGGTCATTTAAGTCTGCCTTAGGGAATAGCAGCAAGTGGGGCTGGGATGGCATTTCAGGTAAGGTAGGGAAACATAAGGTTTAGGGAATGGCTAGGCCATCATGGGAGATTAGATTGGAAAGATAAATCGGAAACTAGCTTAGGAAGGGCCCGAGTACAGTTTATACCATCTCCACGTGAAAAATTTACTTTAGCTCTGTATGATGCCTAGGACTCATTGTGAAAGAAGTATTAATGTTAAATTCCATCTGCTGCGGGCCTGAGATTGATGTATATTTATTCTTAGCTTATTCTTTTTATTTGTTTATTATTATTTTTATTACATTTACTCCAGCTGACAGCAGGCCTATTCTTAACTTGCTGATATATGTAGAGAATATACATTGTTCTTAGAAGTTGACTTACAGCATTACTTTTTATTTTAAACTTAAGTAATTGCTTTTCCATATTAATCTGTTTTGTATGTACTTCACAGTGCTCCCAAGAAGATATAGCTGATAAACTTGGTCTGGATATCTCTGCAACAAAGGCAGTCCACATAAGTAATCCTAAAACAGCTGAATTTCAGGTAAGAATTTTAAGTAGGTGAGAATTCAGGTAAAAACCGAGAAGCAGTACATGAGTTAGGAGAAGTCTCTTCAGTTATTATACCTGAGATGGTGAAATCTTAGAGCTTTTTTATAGTATCTTCTTGGGTAAGTTTATAGTTGGTTATTACATGCTATGCTGCCAAAAATTCTTAACACTTTTAAAAATAATATTTTCTTGATTAGCTTCATACTGGGTTCTTACTTGCTTTGTATTATCTGGCCCAGTCTCTCTTGTCTGAACTTTCCATTTCGTAATTGATTTTTTAACACTATTTTCTGATTTCATCTTTTTTTTTAATTTTTATTTTTTGAGACAGAGTCTTGCTCTGTTTCTCAGGCTGGAGTACAGTGGCATGATCTCGGCTCACTGCAACCTCTGCCTCCCAGGTTAAAGCGATTCTCCTGCCTCAACCTCCCAAGTAGTTGGGATTATAGGTGTGCGCCACGATGCTTGGCTAATTTTTGTATTTTTAGTAGAGAGGGGGTTTCACCATGTTGGTGAGGCTGGTCCTGAACTCCTGACCTCAAGTGATCCACAAAGTGACCCTGGCCTCCCAGAGTGCTGGGATTACAGGCATGAGCCCCTGCACCTAGCCAGATTTCATCTCTTTTCCGTTCATTTGTAATAAAAGAACAAAACCTGTTCCCAGTTCCTCCATAAGTCATTCACTTTGAAATTGCCCATTATATCAGTTCTTGACTGTGCTGCTTATTTCTTTTATTGTAATTGTCTGAGTTTTTGGCAGTTTCATTTAGAGTTTAGGAATATTTAAATGAGAATGATACTACCTTAATATTAAGTATTAAGTGATTTGTGTTATAGATTAGGATATTAACTATAAAGGGAGGGCATTTAAAAATTATAGCATCTTTGCTTATTAATAACTTTAAATAGTTCTATCTCTTTTATACTAATAAGCTCTTGTTCTGTTTCTCTTGCATGTACACATCTGTGTTTTTTAACCCAGATTTTAGAGAAAATCATGTCTTCTAGAATCAAGGGGAATCTTAGAACTGGAAGGCTATATTTTAAAGAAGGTTAATGCTATTATAAATAATATCTGAATTCTGATTTGAAATCGTTTCTTTGGATTTGGGTTTTTACTTATACAAAAATAAGGGATGGGTTAGTTCTAAAAACAATTCTAAAAGTTCTGAAAGTGTTTAAATCTAAATTTAAAAATTCTAAATTTTATCTATAGAACCACCTACTAATGTTGTAGATTACAGCTAGACTAATTAAAGAGCTAATTGGTAATATATATCAAGTATATGAATTCTTTATCTATATTTAGGGTCAGAACTTTGAAGAATCCTTATACTAATTTTGGAAGGATTATAATAATGAATTGTTATATTTTGTTTTCTGAGGTCTAGTTTCCTATTGCTTTTAAAATTTGCCCATAGTGTTCTTTTTAATAAGAGGTATTCAAATTCATTTGCATAGAATGATTTTTCAGTAAATATTAATGGATTTTTGTTTATTCCAAATGCACCTTTTTCTCCCAGTTTTACTTAGATTACTTTTTCAAAAAACTTTATTTTTATTTGTTTTTTTGAGACAGAGCTTCACTGTCTTGCCCAAGCTGAAGTGCTGTGGCCTGGTCTTGGCTCACTGCAACCTACGCCTCCTGGGTTCAAGCGATTCTTGTGCCCCAGCCTCCCGAGTAGCTGGGATTATAGGCGTGTGCTACCATACCTTGCTAATTTTTGTACTTTAATAGAGATGGGGTTTTACCATGTTGGCCAGGCTGGTCTCAAACTCCCAGCCTCAAGCGATCTACCCCCCATGGCCTCCCAGAGTGCTGGGATGACATATGTGAGTCACCTCGCTTGGCCTTTTTTTCAACTTTTATTTTAGATTCAGTTAGTATATGTGTAAGTCTGTTACAAAGGTATATTACATGATGTTGAGGTTTGGAGTGTGATTGAACCCGTCACCCAGTAGTGAGCATAGTACCCAACAGGTAGTTTTTCAGCTCTTGCCCCCCACCTCCCTCTTTGCCTTATATTCCCCTACTGAAGCTTGATAGATTTCTTAAGATGTGGTAACTGTTATGTTCTTCAGGATTTACATCCTGCCTTATCTATTTTATATAAGTGGAAGGAAAATAATCAGAAATGCATTAAATGTCACTATAAATAGCTGTGGCTTAGCACACTTAGGAATCAATCTTTCTGCGTAAAGTACCTTAAAGATGAAAGAGAGTGCCTGTCTTTTGACCTAACAGATTCTATATTTTACCTTGTTTTACCAATAGGTGAGTCCTACTACTACTAATTTGGCTAAGAGGTTTATATTTATTTATGGTTAGGTTAAATGTAAAATTCTTCATGGGCCTATAACTCAGTTTCTTGTCTAAATCCATTCTTTCTCCTGCATAATTCTTAACTTTGGGCTCTTTTCTGATAGTAAATATGTTAGAGAATGGACAAGATAAAAATGCAACTTGGCTAAAATATGTAAAATTTTATTATAGTGACAATAAACAAACTTACAGAATATTGCCACACCCCTTCCAAATTAACAATAATATTCCTTAATCACCTCACATATCCAGTCATTGTTTCAGTTTTCCCAATTGTCAATTTTTTTTTTTTTTTTGAGATAGAGTCTCACTCTGTTGCCAGGCTGGAGTGCAGTGGCGCAATCTTGACTTACTGCAGCCTCCGCCTCCTGGGTTCAAGCGATTCTCCTGCCTCAGCTTCCCAAGTAGCTGGGACTACAGGTGCGGGCCACCACCCCCAGCTAATTTTTGTATTTTTAGTAGAGACAGGGTTTCACCATGTTGGACAGGATGGTCTCGATCTCCTGACCTCGTGATCTGCCCATCTCAGCTTCCTATCAATTTTCTTTTTTAACAGTTTGAGTTGGTATTCAAATGTAGTTCATACACTGACATTGATTTATATGCTCTTCATGTCTCTGTTAATCTACAAGTTGTGCCTCTCATCCTTCCATCTTTCTTTTTCTTTCAGTTTGTTTATTGAAGAAACTGAGTCATTTGTCCTACAGAATTATTACATTTAGGATTTTGCTGAATATGTTCCAATGGCTCCCTAAGTTTCCAGTAAATTGGTAGTTGGATATAGAAGCTTGATCAGATTCAGGTGTAATTTTTTGTATATCTGTAGGTTTTTAAATATGCAAATAAGGCATATCTATAAAATACACTGATAAAATTAAGAAAAGTTTTCTGTAACGGTTGTTTGTTTATTGTATTTCAATAAGTTAAATTTCCTTTTAACTTTTAACATTGTAGTTTCGTTTCTGTGAATGGTTTGGGCACTTGCCCTCCAATGGGGAAAATGAACAATATTTAAGAAGCACCACGTTGAAGGCGAATAGCAGCTTTTTGGTATAGTGAGTGTGATGGGAAAGACGTTCTCTTTTTCCTTCAAAACAGTCTAGCAATTCCATTTAGGGTCTTATGGTTACTTGTGCAGGATCTAAGAAGGTCTATGTTTTAGCTTGGGTGTTAAGGGCAAACCTCTGTAGGAGAGAACATTTGAGCAGACCCTTGAAGGAAGGAAGGAAGCCACATGTGAACCTAAAGGAAGAATGTATGAGCAGAGTAAGCGTGGAGGCCTCAGGATGGAAATCTACTTGCTGACCAGTGTGGCCTCCAGTATGGCTGGAGTGCAGTAAGCCTGTGGGAGCAGCAGGACTTGAGGGTAGAGAGGGAGGCAGGGCACATCACACGGCCCCAGGTAGGCCATGGATTTTATTCAAAATTTAATGGAAACTTCTTGGAGATTTTTGACCAGGGGAGTTGCATGATCTGATTTCCGTCTTAAAGGACTGCTCTGTATGGAGAATAGGCCACACGGTGGCAGGAGTGGAAGCACAGAAGAACGTTATGCAGTTGTCTAGGGAAAAGATAATAGTGCTTGGTGTATGACTGCAGAGCCCAGACTCTCACAGTAATGTTATACCACTGCTTATAAAACCCTTCTGGTAACATGTGTTGGAAGCTAATATATTCCGTATAGCTCACAGGGAGAAATTTATTTTGCATACAAAGCAGGAAAGTTTTGCTTTTTTCAAATGTACGAGGGTATGCATTTCTTAGGAACAGTAGGAATGAAATGACTGTACATACTTTCACATTTGCTTTAGTTAATGAAAAGTTTAGAACTGTAGTTACAGCCTACCCATAGCAGCTGTATATATTTTTTAGCACCTATGTATTTGTGTTCTGTTTTCCTCATTGTGGTGGTGTTTTAATTGCATTTACATTTTTCCTGGTCCTAATTTTGAGTAATTCATATTTAATCTATTTATGGTTATATTTATTTATTTGTTTAGAGACAGGGTCTCTGTTGCCTAGGCTGGAGTGCAGTGGTATGATTATAGCTTATTGTAACCTTGAACTCCTGGGCTCAGGCAATTCTCCACCTCAGCCTCCCGAGTAGCTGAAACTGAAGGCATGTATCCATACCCAGCTAATTGTTAAATTTGTGGAGGTGGTGTTTTGCTATGTTGCCCATGCTGATCTCAAACTGCTAGCCTCAAGTGTTCCTCCTACCTTGGCCTCCCAAAGCTTTGGGATTACAGGCATGAGCCACGGTGCCTGACCTATATTTAATCTACTTAAACATTTGTATTTCTTGTAGTCTATTTCAATTACTTTGTGAAATGAGGCAGGATATGAAAACTTGCATACATGCATTTGAAATCTTGAAAGCAAACTTTAGTTTTTGAGATGATAATCAATTAGCTGGGTGCAGTGGTATGTACCTGTAGTTCCAGCTACTTGGGAGGCTGAGGTAGGAGGTATTTGCCTCCTGCTATAGCGGTTTGAGGCATTTGAGGCTGCAGTGAGCTATGATTGTGCCCACTGCACTCCACCCTGTGCGAAAGAGTGAGACTGTGTCTCTAAAAAAAAGGAAATATGAAATAATGAATGATAATGAATAAAATAATCATGCCTTAGATATGAGCAAACATATTTAGGTTATATTTGTTTCTCATTTTTTAATCACATTTATGATTTTTTATTTTGTAAATTTGGAAGCCAGAATGTTTTCAGTTCTTTTCAGTTCAATTGCAGTGTCCTGGAGTTGAAAATTGAAAGTGACTTCGATATTTTAGGGCAATGCATTTTCCAGAAGTGTCTTCCTATGAAGCCATAGTCTTTCTGCCATAGTCTTTGTCTTTCACCAAGTTTGTTTGTTTGGGTCGTATTTGGTCAGTGCAATTTCATGTCTTCTCCTGTAGGTGGCACGCACTACCCTTCTTCCTGGCCTCCTGAAGACCATAGCGGCAAATCGTAAGATGCCCCTTCCTCTGAAACTGTTTGAAATCTCCGACATTGTAATAAAAGATTCTAATACAGGTAAGAATAAGTCACCTTTGATTTGATTTGTGTATTTAAAGCATTTTTTTCATTATGAAAACCTTAACTGTACATAAAAGCAGAAAAAGTAGTATAATTAGCCCCTATGTACCCAGCCCCCATCTTCAACAGTTGCCAACACATGGACAGGCTTCTTTCATCTATACCACTATCAACTTCCCATATTATTTTAATATGAATCATAGACATTGTATCATTTCATCAGCAAACACTTTAGTAGTGTTTTGTTTTTTTTTTTTGGAGACAGTTTCACTCTGTCACCCAGGCTGGAGTGCAATGGCCTGATATTGGCTCACTGCAACCTCTGCCTCCTGGGTTCAAGTGATTCTTGTGCCTCAGCCTCCTGAGTAGCTGGGATTAAAGGTGTGTGCCACCACACCTAGCTAATTTTTGTGTTTTTAGTAGAGCTGGTGTTTCACCATGTTAGCCAGGCTGGTCTCAAACTTCTGACCTCAGGTGATCTGTCCGCCTTGGCCTCCCAAAGTGCTGGGATTACAGGCGTGAGCCACCGGCACCCAACTACTTTAGTATGTATTTCTAAAAGATAAGCACTACCACTTTAGTTTTGTTTGTTTTATAAATTTAATTTTTATGATTAATTTATTTGAATCAGAATTTAAGGTCCAGCTATTTGGTTGCTATCTCTCTCATTTCTTTTAATGGAAAGCATTTTTCAGCAAAGAATTTAATAATTAAGAAGATTTCTATTAAAACCTCAACCTGACAAGCACTGTGGAACATTTTCTTTTTTTTTTTTTGAGACGGAGTCTCGCTCTGTCGCCCAGGCTGGAGTGCAGTGGCCAGATCTCAGCTCACTACAAGCTCCGCCTCCCGGGTTTACGCCATTCTCCTGCCTCAGCCTCCCGAGTAGCTGGGACTACAGGCGCCCGCCACCTCGCCCGGCTGGTTTTTTGTACTTTTTAGTAGAGACGGGGTTTCAGCGGGTTAGCCAGGATGGTCTCGATCTCCTGACCTTGTGATTCGCCCGTCTCGGCCTCCCAAAGTGCTGGGATTACAGGCTTGAGCCACCGCGCCCGGCCAACATTTTCTTATATGACATGATTCGTGTGCATATTGTCTTAACATACTTGGTATCATGTCATTCTACTTTAGCAGTGACTGTCCACTGTTACCGTTGTACCAATGACTGCGAATGTGTTTGACCAGTTTTTGTTCCTTTTGAGTAAGCCCTGGACTTGTTAGTACAGTGGATTGCTTGGTCCACACTTGGAATGTGGTGGTTGTTTAATGAGTATATATTTAGTAAGCACCTCCACTTGATTGCCAAGGAATTCAGTCTCTGATACAAATCTGACTGTTCGAAGCTGTATGTGCATTGGTCCCTTGGTGAGCAGTACCTGAAGTGACTCAATTGCTGTGTTTCCTTGGTTTCCGGATTTAACAGATCAATTCCTAGCAATGTTTATGCAGCGATGCTTACTCTAGACTCTACAGAATTCAGAGTGTGTTCTTTTGAATCAGTTGACAAAAGCAGAGACCTTATTCTCAATTTCTCCTGAAGAGGATAAACCTATTATTCTTAACTTTACAAAGTGGTCACAACTATTGACTGTAAATCGACCTATCTTAGGAATTATAGAGGTATGACCAGAGCTAGTACTGTCCATGGCAAACTTTCCAGCCAAGGCTGGATTCCATCTGTTCCCCAATATTGTCCCATTTAATGGATTGGAAAATTAAGACAGAAAGTGGTAATTTGCCCAGGGCTGGATAAAATATTGAACTTGGAGCTGGAGCCATAGTATAGGTCTCCGTCACACATCCTTAGAGAATGAAAGTTCATGTTTAATATCACTATGTAGAATTTTCTTTAGGTGGTAAATTTACTATAATAAAAATCAGAAAACATTTTTAGTGCCAGCTACAAATAGTTTTGAGTGTTCTTGTACCTTAAATCCTCCATTGGTAGAGATAACTGAGAATTTGATATAATTCCATTGTCAAATTTTTCTATTAGCCTTGAGTTGTTTCCATTCATCTTATTTATTTGCATTTTACATTGTTTTGATCGTTGATGATCTGTTCGTGTTTAGAAATATATGGTTACATTTATAAATCAGGATTAGGTTAATTACATGTGTTTCCTTGAAAGTGTTGTAATACTGTTTCAGCAGTAGGCCTCTTCCCTGATCGGTAGGGCTCCCTGAGGGCTGAGCACGGTTCTGTGGGGCTGGGCATGCTCACAACCAGGCGGAGGGTGCGAGTGAGGAAACTGGGGTTGTTGCAGGGATGGGGCACTTGACAGTATTTTAGTCCTGGGTAGTGGTGCCTTTGCTGTTTTTGTTTTAATTTGTGTTTGTTGGAAAGGCCCAGGTATACACTGTACCCTGCTTCTCTTTCTGGCCCCAAGGCCTATGCTTAGGATGACTTCCTATAGAGAGAGCTGTTCTTAGGTGCTAGTGCTATAGGCCATCTTCTAACAGATCACCTAGGTGGCCAGGCGTGTTGGCTCATGCCTATAATCCCGGTGCTTTGGGAGGCCAAGGTGGGAGGATCTTTTGAGCCCAGAAGGTTGAGGCTACAGTAAGCTATGTTTACACCAACTGTACTCCAGCCTGGGCAACAGAGTAAGACACTGTCTCCCCCGCCTTGCCCCCCGCTCAAAAAAAAAAGAAAGAAAGAAAGAAGAAATGACTTAGAAAATCATCCCAGAAACTCAATTCATATAGCTTTTAGATTTGCGTTTCTGTGATACTTTGTTTCGTTGGGAAGGATAGTTCCTATTTCTATAGGAAACCTCTTTTATATCTGTCTTTTGTTATAATTACTCTGCTCTATTTTCTCCATTGATTCATTTCTGATATTATTTTTGCCTGTTGTCTTGTACCATTCTGCTTTTTTTTTTTTTTTTTTGAGACGGAGTCTCGCTCTGTCGCCCAGGCTGGAGTGCAGTGGCCGGATCTCAGCTCACTGCAAGCTCCGCCTCCCGGGTTCACGCCATTCTTCTGCCTCAGCCTCCCGAGTAGCTGGGACTACAGGCGCCTGCCACCTCGCCCGGCTAGTTTTTTTGTATTTTGTAGTAGAGACGGGGTTTCACCGTGTTAGCCAGGATGGTCTCGATCTCCTGACCTTGTGATCCGCCCGTCTCGGCCTCCCAAAGTGCTGGGATTACAGGCTTGAGCCACCGCGCCCGGCCGCTTTATTCTTTTTTTTAAAAAGTTTTCCATCATCAATGGTATTTGAGAAATGAAAGGAGGTAAATGTGCTTGGTAAGTCTACCATCTTGAAAACATAGGTTTGCTTTAGTTTATTTGGAGTATGTTTTCTGTTTAGGTAGGCCTGGATTTTATTTCATAACAAAATGAGCTTTTCTGATGGAGTATTCTACATATGTACATGTGGATTCCCTACTTGTCATCTGGTGTACATAGAGGACAACAGGGGAGGCAGCAAAGCACCGCGGTTCCATAGAGAGACTCTGCAGCCAGAGTGCTTGGCTTTGAGTCATGGTTCTGCCTTTACCAGCTGCTTAACTTTGGACAATGTGTTTATTCTCTCTGTGGCTCAGCTTCCTCATCTGTACAGTGGGAATAATGATAGCACTTATTTCATTGATATGTTATAAGGATTAAATGAAATTACAGTTTGAAAAGTTCTAGCCACGTAATAAGAACTGTTGGTGTTTGCTCTTGTTGTTAAGATGTTTACAATTCCTAAGCTCAGATAACGTAGCATCCTGGTTTATGGGAATTTTTTACTGGAATGACTTGAAAGCCTTAGCTGTCCATTAAAGGGCTAATGTCACCTTGCTGAGGCACTCAGGGCCAATTCTTATCCTCACTTTTGACTTAATTGGTTCTGTTATGCCTTTTTTTTTTTTTTTTTTTTTTAGAATAAGAAAACTGAAACAGACGAACGTGGGAATTTATTTATGGAAACAGGAACATTGTTTTTTGAGTAATTGGTCACCTACTTTTTTTGAGTGAATTAACGTGTTTTTACTGTTTCTCAAACCAGTAACCATTTTTCTCTATTGGATTCACATTAGCAATTTCCTTCTAAAAAATGAAACTTTTTTGAAGACAAAAGTCTAAACCATAGTTTTCCAGTTAATGTGAAAATTCCTCAAATTTTCATTGGTGGGAGCAGTACCCAAACTACTGGTTCAAAAGAGTGGTGATAGAGTGGCAAGAATGAGCAAGGCAGTCTCATTCAGCACAGCACATTGGTAGAAAAGATTTGTAAGTTATTTTTCGTTGCTAGAGACTGCTTTAGAATATCAGAGAAAGAGTTACCAGTCTTAAGGGAGACAAACCTGTGAGCAGATCCTTACAGATAATGCCCAGAGAGAATGTACCAGTTGCCCTTTGGTAGCTCGGAAGGGAGCAACAATTGCCATTAATTTGTTTTCTAATACTAAGGAAAAACCCAACATTCCCAGCCTTGTATCAGTTTGGGGTGGGCAAGCATGTCTTCCAAAACAAAAATAGAATCCATATTGGATTTCGATATGCCTCCCACACATTTTGTGTGACCAGTATTCCTGTAAGAGTAGATGAAAGACTGCTAGCCCAATTTTCGTGCTTGACCTTGTTGGACAGTTTCTTATTCTAATGTAGACTTTTTTGACTGACCATCCGTGTTGTGTGAGGCCGTCAGGCTGCCAGTTTAGAGACTGTGTCAGGCATACTTTTCGAGCATTAAGACTTCCACTCTAAATCAGACACATTCAGGTTCTTTGAGGCTGAGCCAACCACTGCATTTATTGAGACTCTAGATATGAAGTTGCTGCAACATTTTAAAAAATTAGTCATGACTCAAGGGACTCAGCCGATTTATGCCTTTTGTTGGGCAGAATGGTGTATGGCTTTGGAATGAGAAGTTGAATGCAGACTCTGCTGTGGGATGAATGTTTTTCAGTTGATAACAAGGAAGTCAGCAGATGCAGCACTGAAGCTGCCATATCAGGCTGCTGTGTGAGCTATTGATTGGTGATTGGTTTCAGTCCTTAACATTTT